GGTTGATATGCAAATGAGCAGAATGAAACCATTTCTCCATATGATATTCCATCACTGATTATGTAGGAACAAATTACAAACCATAAATATACAAAAGCATCGTGGGTATTCTCTATACTCTACGCTGATCTACGTCTTTACCATAATGAATTGTTTTATTTCATTCAAAATTAATATTTGTTAAAAAGTCTACAAATCATATCAACTACGTATCAAAAAGCATTAACGTCCTGATTGTGTAGCAACACTAATCTTATATCAATATTTACAATCATTCGTTCTCACACACATGAACAACAGATGCGAAGTTAATGATTTTTTTTTTTATTTTGCTTCATTATATTGATGGATGAATTTGAAGTTTTCGAAGTTTAATGAAAAGAGGTGAAGGGAAAAAAAATGAAATAATAGTATTTTTTAAGATTTTTTATTTTTTTCCTTTAATGGAATCTATAATTGAAGAGAAAATTGATCGAAACAATGAAATAGATTATAACAAAGATTTAACTGATATTTGCCTATTTAAACTTTAGTGATGGCACTTTTTAAAGATTTTTTGCGGGGTGCACATTTAGGTCAGAAAAAAAGTTTGGAATACCATGGTATTCGATGAAAGATTATTAATTTTTCTTACCTGACTTATGTTCTATGTTTTCCATACTGCCCCCCCCCCGGTTAATATACACTGTCAAATTGTGTCATCAATAGTTACTGTGACCGAATCAAGCAGTATTTTCTGTATAATACATGTATTTTATTATGCCTATACACATTTTTCCGTCTTTAATTAAAATCAGTGAATCCTTCAAATATAAAATAGAATTGTCTGATTACAGGTCGTTTTTAAGATAAAAATTTTTTTTTTTTATTTGCAATCCCATTATATAGGTATTTTTTGCTAAAGTTTTCTCATAAGAGTTCTGAAAAAGGTTACAATTTTAATAAGTACAGTGTACAGTGTTACACAATTTTAGGATCTAAAAATTTTTCTTTCTTTTTCTAAGATGGTGAGTCTTTTTCAAGGTAGGTAACATTTCCTAGCCTTTGTTAATTTTTTTGAAAACAAATTGTAAACTTAATATCTTGACTGATATTTTCATTTTGGTTTACATTTTAATGCGAGTCTTATCTTAATGTGTATATAAACGGCAGATTCAGCATTTCTTTAAGGCAAAAATACATTTTACTCCTTTGAAACCCATTTAAGTTTTGTAAAGCCCGTTTTGTTTAATTGAGAATTGCTTGTTAGAAACAAAAAAGTAATTAATTCCTAAAAATAATTCTACGTATAAATTGAAGATCAAGCTCTCATTCTAAGAACCAGTAAACTTACGCAGTAAAAACAGGGCTAAAGTCATTTTTTTCAAGTAGTTTAAGATTTTTTTTTAAAAAGTTGTTAATTCAAAATTTGGAATTAAAAGTGTATCGAAGCAAGTTCAGTTACCCCTAGCAATTTGCCTTAACCTATATTTGTTACTGTGTGAGTGTTTTCTATTAATTGTGTTTTAAAGGGAACCTTCTCTTGGCTTCGTTTATGTGCTTCACGAAATCTTTGTTTTCGGTGAAAAGGCATCCTACTAGGACAGAGGGAAAATCCAGACAATCAGTTCATTCCACATCAAAAGAACCGACGACAACCAGCATCGTACCAACTTCATCAGAAAGATTACTTCAAACCTTTCCTCTATGGACCTCCCTACCTGCCAAAAGTTTTGAAAGAAATGAAATAAATATTTCCAGGTCTGTTTCCAACGTAGAAAGCCGTGCTTCTGTTTTTAATAAAACAAGGGCATCGTTGAATTTTTCGGATAAGCGTTGGAGATCAGAAAACAAGTATTTTAAGGTAGCTAACATTTCAAATGAAAATACCGATTTTCTCTCGGGCTACCTTTATGGCGTTTTATGTTGGAGTTATCCAGACAAAGATAATGCTTCCTTTTCTCTATTTATTAATTCTTCTGTTCATAAAACCTCTGAGAGGCGATCAGTTGCAGTGTCCGATAGCGTGCTCATCATTCATGTCAAGGTCATTTCCTTGATTGGATTGTTTTGTAATCTGTTATCCATTCTAATAATTATTCACAAGTCTATGCTGCATAAACCGTTTTACCTTTGTGTCGTATGCTTAGCTTTTGCAGATATCCTGTATAACCTCAATTTTTATATAAAACAAATTATGCGTTATTCTGATTTTTGCAGAGTAAGGATAGGCCAGATTTTCTTTTATGTTACAACATATTGTACAAAAATGTTCTCATCTCTCAGCGTCATGGTGATGTTGACAGTAAGATACTTAATGTTTGTACATCCATTGAGAAGTCGTATTTACATCACAAATCGAAACATAGGTGTCATTTCCGGTGTTTGTTTGGTTTTAAGCATCGTGTATGGAGTCGTCATTGTTCAAATAAAATTGTCAACGGCTCTCCATTACTCCAAGGTTTTCTATATAGCCGATGACATTCTCCTACTAGTTGCTTTTGTTTTACTCAATATTTATTTCTTTATCAATCGTGTCAAGAAAGTGAAAGTCTCGCTTGCTGCGAGAAATTTGAAAAAGCACGTGACCTTTGTAGTTATTTTGATTCTGATTATGTGTGCTGTCAACGCCTCGTTTTCAATTCTGTTGACTTTTCGAAGCGGTAATCTCTTTGACCAGGATTCTCGCATTAAAAAAGAAACTGCGGATGACGCTGTTTGGCATGTAATCATGCGTGTTACTGAGCTCCTTAAAAATATTGTTCATTCCGTGAAACCATTTCTTTTCTTTTTCAGTTCACCATATGTAACAAAAATGGTTTTGTCGTTTTTCAAATGTCGTCAAAAGAAATGAGTTCTAAAAATTGTAAGCCATATCTAGGTGTATGTAGTGAAGTAAAGTATGGAACTGTAGTAAATTCTAGATAAAAAAAAATGTTAGTTACAGGATCTATCATATTTCTATTGTTCTATGCTGGTTTGAATAAAATGATTTTTAATTTATCAAAAAATTATCATTGGTTTTTCATTAAAAATTTTTTTCTAAGTTTTTACAATGCAATTTAAGGTTTTCAAGAGTGTACAAATTTCAATAATAAACCATTTGCACAATCATTTTACAAAGGGTTTGTCATATATAGTAAATAAGGGTTTTATGGTTTTGATTGAAAAGATAAGAATTTGTCAAACTTAATTAAATAACTTTTAATTAGGATTTGCTTTGTAAATTAGAGGTCCGTGTTTGATCTGTTCCAAATTTGTATTGTTTCAATGGACCTTTGACCTTGGTTACTGTCCGTTATCTTCATATTCAATTGCGCTGTAAATTCCATATAAGGCAATTTCCAAAAAAATATTTGTTTATTTGTGTAATTTAACTTCGTTTATGCGTATGTTAAATTTAAATTGACATGAAATGATGTGCTTTAATCACAAGTGAATTTAGTGCATATTATGTATTGTATCAAAGATGTATAATAAATTCTTTAAAGAGAAATATTTACATTTTTAAATGCTTTGTCCGAGATAATAATTTTAATACATATGGTAAAAGCTTTATACCCTTATAAAGTGATTTGCGCAGCATGAACGTGACAAGATTCCAAGCTTTCTCGCAGTGTTGCTTCAGTTATATGTAGTAATACACTGGGTGGGGCCTGCAAAAATTTCTCGTTATCGCATAAAAATATTTTTTTTTTTATTGAACCAAGGATCAGGGGAAAATGTAAATGTGAGGATTTTTTAAAATTTATCTATTAATCTTTTTTTCTGTTTGTTTGTTTGTTGTTTGTTTGTTTTTTTTCATTAAAAAAGTGATTTGGTGTGGGTGTGTGTGTGTGTTTGTTTTTGTTTTTTTTTTATGATGATGATCAGTAAGTTTGCTCGCGTGATAGTTTTATGCCTAAATGCCTTGCAAATTATCACAGTAGCAAACAGATTGACACATCACAAAGCAAAAAAGTTATCCCTTAATTGAAAATATATATAGTGGGTGATTTTGTCTCTGCATAGCATGTATTGGGTTATTTTGGTGTCGGGAATATCTGGCGAGTTTTATGCAAAAAAATTAAAGATTAAATATCGGCACTTTGTATTTTTGGCAGATTTTCAATTTTTACTCTCTATATACAACTGAACGTAGACTTGGTGGGAATATTGGAGATTTATTAATTATTTTATTTCTTTTTTTTTGGGGGGGGGGGGGTAAATTCTTCTGATCCGCCAATAAAATAAGCCAACTTTCGCAGCGCGCAAAATAAGCCGATATACGGTCTGAGTTTTTTTTATTGGGGGGGTGTAACTTAACTTGCCCTCCTTTAAAGGTAAACATTTATTAACATTATGGAAGTTTATCTATTTTTCTGGAGAGAGAGAGGGGGGAGAGAGAATATTTGTGTTTGAAAATCTTAAATAAATTGAAACAAAGATAAACAATTGCACTCTTTCGTTATTTTAAGTGACATCTGCAGTTTAACACAGATAAACCTCAATTGATCACAAAAAAAGAACAATAAGCCTCCAACATTTGATCAGTACTGTTCTATTGTCATATAATGTAACAGCCGGTGTAGGCTTAATCCCCCTCCTTCAATCCAGGGGATTCCTGTACAACAATGACACAGGTAAGCTAGTATAGAGAATTATTTTATAATCATATGCAATCTATTCACTGTAGTTTTCTTTTCATTACTGTTTTATATCCCATTTATATACTAAGTCTTATCGTCTGATTAATTTGTAAGATTGTTAAATTAAGGGTTTTATTGGTCTGTTGAAATTAATCGAGCTTCGAATGATGTCTTCCATAAAATTCCGGTTCAGAAAATGTGTAGATGTGGGCATTCCCCTTAGAAACTTATCAATGGAATTTTGGTTGCGTAGGGTCAAAAGTAACAATTTTTGATCAACAATGATTGATACCTTGTATTTTTATTTATTGAATGCACTTAGCTAAATCGTAATATTTACCTGGTGATACATGTGTGCATTCTATTTCCAATAAACTCTTGTTTTCTAGTAGATTTCTGATAATAACAGACCGGATGTACACTGAGGGATATATAGAGGACGATTTTCATATGTAAGTTCCTTAATTAGTTTGGCAAGGAAAAAATATCTTTCAGTAATTGCAAAATATGCTGGTATTTAAACAAATTGTATACTGTATATTGTAAATTCTGTTTGGGATAAGAACTTTTTTTTACATCTTTATGTACTTTGTATATATTTCTTATTTTAAAAGTATTTATTGATTATACAAAGGGCGTGCATGACATACAGTGAAGTTTCTTTATAAATCCCATAGAGTATGAACAGCATCTCGTTAAAATTGTTTTTTTAAATAAAGTTAAATTGGTTTTCACAAGCATTTAAATTAAACTAAAAAATTTGCATCCCCACCTACATGTAAATAAAAGCTGAAAGATGTGTGTGTGTGTGTGTTTTTTGTTTTTTTTTTTTTTTTTTTTTTTTTAATTTTTTTTTTTTTGTTTGTTTGTTTGTTTGGTTTTTTTTTTTGGTGGGTTTTTTCTGTTTTCCCAGTGTTTTTTATTTATTTATTTTTGTCTTGTTTTGTTTGTTTTTAGCTCTACTGGTCAGAGACCAGAAGAGCTTATGCGATAGTAAGGTGTCCGTCGTCCGTCCGTCTGTCTGTCTGCCCGTCCGTCTGTAAACAATTTTTCAAAATGCTACTCCTCCTACAGTTTTGGTCTGATTTCAATATAACTTGGCACACAAGTAGATTACACTAAGCTACATAATTCTGTATATCAGTTTTTGATTTCGATGAACGGTGTTGCCATGGTTACTAAAAATAGAAATTTCTGTGAAATACTTTCAAAATGCTACTCCTCTTACAGTTTTGATCTGATTTCAATATAACTTGGCACACAAGTAGACTATAATAAGATACATAGTTCTGTATATCGGTTTTTGATTTCAATTAACGGTGTTGCCATGGTTACTAAAAATAGAAATTCCCTTGAAATACCTTAAAAATGCTACCCCTACAGTTTTGGTCTGATTTTAGTATTACTTAGCATACAAGTAAACTACACTAAGGTACATAATTCTCTGTACCAGTTTCGGATTTCGATGAACAGTGTTGCCATGGTTACTAAAAATAGAAATTTTCTTGAAATACTTTCAAAACACTACTCTTCCTACACTTTTTGTCTGATTTCAGTATAATGTGGCATACAAGTAGACTACAGAGATACATAATTGGTGTTATTGTTTTTTGATTTTGTTGAATGATGTTGCCATGTTTACTTAAATCAAAATTTCTGTAAAATTGTTTTAAAAGGCTACTCCTCCTACAGTTTTAGTCTGATATAATAATAAATCTTGCCACAGAAGAGACTAAACCAAGGATCATTATTCTATTTATTGCTGTTGCAAATTTTCAAGTCCAAGTGCTACTTTTATTTTCCTTTATAAATACAACCAGTAGAGCTACAGTCTCGTCAGAGACTTCTGGTTTGTTTTTGTTCTTTTGTTGTTGTTGTTGTTGCTGTTGTTGTTGTTGTTTTTTTTTTTTGTTTTTTTTTTTTTTTTGTTTTTTTTTGGTCTTAAAATTCTTAACGATTGTTTATTTCCCTTAAGTATTTTGACCGTTTTTATTTGATATATACTTACGTACATATATATCCATTATGTCATTATGAATCATTTCTCTAAACAGGGAATCTTTTTATGGATACTCGATGACGCTTGTTGGGATTCTCGCATTTGTTTTGTTGTTTTACATATTATTCAAACTCTGCACCTCTGACGAAGATGAAAAATCACAACAAAAACAACCAAATGTTTATCCTTTGACTCCAGTGTTCGCTCATGAGCTGACCCCTGGGATTATAGTTCTACAGAGTGCGGATGGTGAATACTTCAGAATCTTACACGAATATAGTTCCAAACATGACGTGAATCGGATTAATCAAAACGGTAATGTCATGACGTCATCAAGTACAGGAACCTCCCACTCTCGAGTTTTGGAGAATGCGCAGACTCAAACAAGACCATCAGCACCAGTGCCAGTTGATGATTTGCTCATGAATATTCATGAGCCTGTAACAATTCAACCTCCACCATATTCAGCTTGGAGAACAGAAAATTAATTGTTATGGAATCCATAGGAATCTTTACTTTTTGGTGTAAAACTTAACACTCGGAAAGTTTTATCTATATACTTCTACCTTTCTGTTTGTAAAATATTACTTTATTTTTCGCCTGCAGAGCAGAGCGACACTTAGGGATCACTCTATCTGGCGTCTGTCCGTATGTCACACGTTATATCTCGAGAACTCAAGAACTGGTATGGATTTGATATTTTGCACATGTATTGCTTGGCACTATGCTTTTTTTTTTAAATTACCATGGTTACCAACCTTATGGCTCTTGACCTATGACCTACTCTTCAAAAAAGGTTCCTAGTGCCAATATACAGCAAATATTTTTGACATTTAAGAGGCAAGTCTATGATATTTAGCATGTGCACTATCATAAAATGTTATGAAAAATACGAGCGTTATAATCCACTTTATTTTGACCTTTGACCTACTTTGCAAAATATACCCCGGACAGTTTTTATTTGTCTTTTTTTAATTTTGAGAGGCAAGGTTTTTGATAACAAGCATTTATACATCTTCATGAACTCACGATACTGTGCTTTGAAACAATAAGATATTCAGTTACAACACAAACTTATATTTAACACTATAAAATTACATCGGGATCGTATTCCCCAATGGAGTGCGTAGACTGACAATGCAGTAAAGACAGATTGGAATCTTGGAGGATTGTGGGAAACATTTATTAATAAAATGATAAATAATTGATTCTAATAATTTAAATTTTTTCATTTGGGGGTTGGGAAACTACATTTTCTTTAATTGACAGATGCTATCTCAGTCTTATACTATCTGTGGACTTTTTGTACTTTGCAAGCAAATTCATGAACTATAATGTTACATTGTAGTAGTTAATAAATAGCTGACCACTGTTAGATCTATTTACATCTTTAATGAAGCTGCAAAGCAGGCGACACATGCGTTCAACGGAACACTCTAGTTATCATTTTTTATATAAAAGGATACGCCTAGTGATGCTTGCTCACTATCTTCAGTGTTACCTAAGTAAAAGCAAAAGAAATGTATACTTTTTTTCTTATTCACGTGTGAAAAGTGAAATGTATTTAACTTTAAAAATCATAAATATATATATATATATATATATATATATATATATATATATATATATATATATATATATATATATATATATATATTTATTTATATATATATATATATATATATATATATATATATATATATATATATATATATATATATATATATATATATATATATATATATAATACCTATTTTTCTTGTCTAAGTCTTTGCTTGAGTAGACCTACAATGTATCTGTAGATGACGATTACAGGTCTATAAAATATTTTTCATATAATACCATGAAATTTTACACCTCACATTAAGTCAATGTTGACTTACTTATTTTTCAAATTGTTATGCAAATGTTCTCACTCTGAATCGTCTACGGAATTTCTGTTTTCCCCGTCATGACAAGGAGTGCACGGCGGGTGTGACCTGGCAAAATTCAAGAATATTACAATTTAACAAAGTCTGGTTTTTAATACCTGGACTCCCAGGAAAAAAAACATTTTTTTTATATCGGAAATGAAAGCATAAAGTCTCTAATTTATTTGATGTTGGAATGGGACAATGGGGTTTGGTCAGTTAATTGGCGTAGGGGCTTGCTCTTTGTATGGTTTCATTGGACGTTTGAGCTTGATTATTGTTATCTTCATATTTAATGTAAAGGCACAGAGGATTGTATTAACCTAGCTAAGAACATGATGCTATTTTCATGATATATGTCTTATGGAAGGATTGATTCAAGCTGAAAGAAAAAGTAATGGAATGCTTATTGAATTTTCATTTATTTTCTCCCTCGTTTCATTCCTCCGAAAATAAATATTTTCTTGAGTAATTTATTGAAAAAACAAAAAAAAAAAAGAATATTCTATAGGATCTATGCGTTCGTTACAAATCGCATTTTTGTTGAATATAGCACAAATCAATTGTATAAATTTTAAAAAATAAACAATGAAAAGGGCTGGGCGGGCAGGGAAAACCAAAGACACGAAACAACCTCCGACTTTTCGTAACGAATCTCGCATTAATCAGGTCTGGACGATTTCAAAATATGGAAGTCAAGAACGATAACTGAAAGTCGTTATAAATATACATCTTATACACGTAAATATTTTTCTGTCCAATCAGACAACAACATTTTACCACATCCTAAAACAATTCAATGGAACAAAAAGAGAACACGTGCTTTTGGGGTTTTTTTCTTCAAAAAGATTTTTTTGGCAAAAAATCTTTAGAAGTAAGATGAAAGGTTTGGAAGAATAAGGTATTCCCCACATATTTACCGTGAACAAACTTGACATTTTCATCTTAAAAAAAAACATTAATGCATGTAACAATGCGATTGTTTACGGAGGTATAGATCACAACGTCAAATTATTATCAATAATAATTATAACATTTGCAGATCATACCCTATGTCGGTAACAATAAATTTGCTTAGCTGTCCGATTTTCATCGATATCGCGTAGTTTTCATGGGTACACTGTGTTGGCCAACTGCATACACGTGTTTATCGTATAGACTACATGTAGTTATAAAATATCACGGGTTTCATGAGCGCTGAATACAATGTTATAAACACTGTAAATGGACACAAGAAAAGGTGCAAAACGTAGAGAAGAGGGAATGTAGATTAATGCTTTTTCACCATAACTTACCACGCATACCAGAAACTGGACGGTTTTGTAATAAACACCCAGGAAATAATTAAAATATTAAATATATTCCCATACGAAAACACATTAATGCCAGGCTCTATTCTCTTTTGAGAAGTTGATGGCAATTTTTAATACTCCCCCTCAACTTCTCTACGAAAGGCCTAATAAAAGCAGTTCAGAAATTGACTAAATGAAGAACCAAACTTGGTCCCACTTCGATCGATGTTTTAGGATTGATGCATTATAATAGACATATTTTGGATGCACAGATGTTGTTTTGCATTGGAAATGCGATTAAAACTACCGATTTTGCTGACTTAAAAAAACATTTATCAAGGTAGAACACTTACTTGCGATATCTGTGTCACCGGATTCGTTTATTCATTCAAAACCGCGGTTGACCTCTAAAAAGTGTGAAACCTGATAAATTGGATAAAATGTTCCCGTGTTAGATAGTTATCGGGAGAAATAGTTTTAGACTTTCTTAGAGGTCAACCCGGGTTCAAACGCACTTTTGAATGAATAAACGAATCCGGCAACACAGATATCGCAAAATAAGTGTTCTATCATTAAAAACGTGTTTTAAGTCAGCGGAATTGGTAATATATTCGCATTTCTATGGCAAAATAACAACTGTGCAACCAGACTACGTCTATGATATCGCATCAGACCTAAAACATCGATCGAAGTGGGACCCGGTTTGGTTCTTCATTTAGTCAATTTCTGAACTGCTTTTATTAGGCCTTTCGAAGAGAAGTTGAGGGGGAATATTAAACGAGCCATCAACTTCTCAATGGAGAATAGCCAGCCTCTAAAAACTGAAAATCTGCCGTATTTATATCAAATTTAACACAAGTTAAACTTTTGGGATAGCTACCTTGTAATGACAGATTTTAATCCCACTTAAGAATTTATTCTAAGCTTTCAAGTCGTGTTTGTTCACGGTAGAATTGTCAGTTATGTTGTATCATTTCTAAATATGCATAAAGTTTACAAAAAGTTTGTTCTAAAAAGTCTTTTGAGCAAAAAAGTTTAAAACCACGTGTTTTATTTATTATCTGATGGGTTTGTCTAAATGCGGTTATCTGATTGGTCAGAAGGATTAGCACTTTTTATTCGGTGTATTTATAGCAGTTCACGGTTATCGTTCTTGTCTTCCATATTTTGTTGAAATCGTCTATACCTGTTAATCGAAATTTCCCCTGTAAATGCATTTATACTGAGCGCATGAAAAACCAGTTTTATTTAGATACGAAGATTCGCGGAAATTCGAAACTATAAATGTTTAGAAATTAATGTAATTGAAGCATTTTCTGGACACATGTTTATCATTTTTAAGCACATTTTTTTATGATACATGATTTTTCTAATTTAAAAAAAACACTCATACTCCTTAGACTATATTTAGGGTTTTGATTATGCTGTATAATGAGAATCATGGTTGGTGTAAATGAATTATTAGTCGCGTGTAGTAAGAAATAGAGGATGGATCAATCTATATATCAATGATATCTACAAGAAAAAAAAGACAAAATATTTTCCAAATGTCAATAATCTAGAGCAAACATTGGTTGCTTTGCATTAGGAATTGGCAAAAGGAAAAACAAAACCAGATCTAATAATGATTATTTATCATTTGATTATTTATTTAGTATGTGTTTCAAGGTTTTTCAATGTTTGATATTATTCATTAAACAACTTTTATTTATAGATTTGACCAATTAGCGGAATATAATTTACATAAACAGCGAAAACTTTCCATTATTCGATTAAAACTCTTATTATCACCCCATTCTTAGAATAAAAGTCAAATACTATGGATATGGATATTATTCTTACATTGAGTACTGTGCTTTTCTAAAAGGGTTATGGCTGACCTTTCTTTATTTGAAAACAACAATTATTATCAGGCCATGGTGTATTTGTACCTTACATATTGATACAAAGTTCACTTCTTAAGAAATCTTTCTTATCGATAACTTTAAAAATATTTCAAAATACAGGTAGCTTATAATTAATCAATTTATTAAAGGAATTAATTTTCTTACATGCTGAAAATAAAAAGAAAAACATTCAGTGAATGAAAATAAACTTGTGAATAAGCGCCGATCACTATGGATGTGATTGCTTTTCTTATGTTAAGTATCCTGCTTTTCTACAAGGGTTATAGATTTGATGTAATACATGGAGAGAGATATGTAGGTCCTGTTGTCTCTTTGATTCGAACAATCGGACAACAACAATGTATTAACGAGTGTCTGGCGAGAGCAGGGCTTTGTAGAGGTGTAAACTACATGAGGAAGAACCTACTGTGTGAAATCGTGTCATCGTTAGAGGAAACAAGTCCCTCTGTAGCGTATGTTAGAATAAAACTGGATCAAGTAAGTAATTTATATAATCTTTGGAGTAAAAAGAAAAATTTTTCATTGAATAAAAAAATCAACATAATATACAATAAAACAGCATTGAGGTGAAGTGTAAGGGACAAAGAAATTTTAATTCTTGTAAACATGTTTAAAACCTATAAATTCAGAATAGGTTCAAATTCTACAGGGTATGTAAATCCTTCTGCTGTAAGAGTGAATTCATTATATGCGTGTTCACTGTAACTATGTTTTACATACAATTAGGTACATAATAAAGTGTTTTTCTCATGTTTATTGGTTTTAATAAAAACTTTTAATAAAAAAAAGCATTTCTATCATGTAAACCGGGAAAAAAATATTTATTTATTTATTTATTCATTTATTTCATTAATTCTCTCAGATGGGGATTGGCAACGTTGATTGCCAGCTTTGTTTACCCAATGAAAAATGTCTGACACTCTCAAGCAATATAACATACTGTGTCAAAGGTACGTTGTTATATGATTGTCTTAATGTTTCGATGTATCTCAATCCATCATTCCTCTAATAATGTATTTTTAACCTTATATATCATAATCTCCCCCCCCTCTCTCTCTCTCTCTATACTGTGTTCATCGTCAAATCTTAAATCATACCTTACATATACTATGCATATTATGTATACATATATCGCAAACAGTACACTGAATCATTCAAGGGAGCCGACTTGGCTTTTATTGTTTAAAAACTATAATAATTTTTTTATTTTTATATCATATGTAACTCACATTGACTTCAGTGTACATGTCAAGTTTGGGGAAAATCTATCGTCTGGGAATTTTTTGGGACAGTGTCAAAATACAGGTACTTTACTATGGGAAAGAGCTAGTTCTTGCACTTTGGGGGGGGGGGGGGGGGGTTTCCAACTTTTTTTACAACCTTTTTAATGCATTGTCACATTACACCATGACTTAATTTACCGTGACAAAAGCGGGGGTAGGGGGCAACCAGCTTTTCAATGAATATTTTCAACAGTATAAAGTTATGTTTGGAAACTCCCCACCACACCCCCCACTCCCCACACCCCGGAACTACTTGCCTGTCTTTGCATATAATCTTTTCTCAAAATTTCTCTTTCCATTAAATTGATATGAAATCAATGTTTTCCTCCACTTTTAGATGTAAATTATCCAAACGACTGCAGTCAATTATCATCAGAATTATCAAGCGGATTATACGGAATACGCATCCCAGTTTTGGGTCACGTGACCGTCTTTTGTGAAATGGTGACTGACGGCGGTGGCTGGACAGTAAATATATCATTTAAAACTTTCAATTTATTAAAACTTTCGTTTAATCAAAAAAGCAAAACATTATAATTAATAGTTCTAGTGTGAGGTTCCAATACTTCCATGTAATGTAAGCCAGTCATTCTACGATAAATGGGCCAATTCAGGGTATAAAACATGAAAAAAATAATTGTTTCATATAGCAAAATGAACATCATATTTCTCTAAAGGACATATCAGTGAACTTGAAAAAAAAAAAAAAAAGAATTGTCCTCAAATCTGAAATCGTTAACTTTTTACAACAATTTTGATATACCAGTGATTTTATAAGGTAATGTTACGGAAGTTAATGCTTTTACAAGTCTTTTTATTATTTTAATAAAGCTGAATTTGACCAATTTTTCGTTTCTGATGTTCAGTATAGAACGCTAAAGTATGATTCATGAATTCTCGCATGAGTCCGAAATTAAGTTAAGATTTCGGTAAAAATATCGTTACGAAGTTAATCGTTAAGGAAATTCATGCAATTCCCAGCAATAAAAGTTAAAATTCTCGGCAATAGTTAAAATTAAAGTTTGTTTTAGGATATTTAACAAAAGTATGAAGCATTTTGCTCCTTAAATAATGAAAATCTTTATATCTTAAATAACTGTTTTTGTCTAATATATTTTATGTCAAAAATGTAATCGACTAAAATAGCTGACTCACAACTAGAATCGATGATATTAGGTTCCGTGGTCACTTTCAGATAAGTTTCAGTTCTTTTTGAAATCTGCATTCTGTGCGTGAAATTTAAAACAAAAACGTTACAGAAGTTAATCGATTTTTAGCTACATGCTATAATTTTGCATGAAAGAAGATCCATGCATTTCTTTGCGAGAAGTGGTTTGATCTCTTTTTATATAGGATAAACAACTCTCTTTAACATTCGTTACAATCTATTCGAACGCTTATACGGGTGAAAATTTCATCTTGAAATTTGTAAATAAATGAAGCAACATTAAGATTTGCAGTGGAATACGTTTTTCAACATTACATTATATCCATATCAAAACTTTAACTGCATATTTATCGGTAAATATTCACAAAACTATGTGTGTATGTTAAGTCTTAGAGTTGAAATTGATCTTTAAATTTCTAGTTGTGATATTACAAATTTGTAAGCAACATAAAAAAAATCTGAAATGGTCATGTTCTTGTAGAATGACTGAAGCACCTTTCACACTGCTTAATGTTAGCTTATTTATGTGGACGCATATTCATGATTTAAGGTAATACTTGTTGTTCTCAAGACTTAAATGCACCAAATTATGATTGCACCAATCAGGTTAGGGTCTACTGACCCTATCCCCCCACCCCCCAAAAAATACATACATAAAATTTTTAAAATCCAAACATTAATTTTTTTCATCAACAGCGTTCAATTCAAATGGAAAAAGATTGAAGCATAAAGTGAATTTTTCAGAAATTAATTCGATGCTTATATGAGGAAAATGTGATTTTCATAAGGAATGATTCAACTCAAATCATAGATTTTACATTGATCGGCATTAGATAAGCAGTCTCTAAAATATTTTCTTTCAGATTGATGTTGTAGTATGCTGGCTACAAGAATTATATATATTACCGTGGAATCATAATTCGTGGAAACCAATTTTCGTGGATTACTTAAATTCACGGGTTCGTGGGGACGTAATTTCATGTATTCTCTGAAACCTACAAAAAGAAAAATGACTTTGAAACTCTAGTTCATTAATACTTGGATGTGGGGTACCCACGAATTCCACGAAAATTGAGCCACCACGAAATCTAATTATTCCACAGTTTCTGATGTGAAAGTCAAATATCATGGCTCCATCCTACTTTGTACAATGTACTTATATGAGTGATTGATGACAAAATATTAATTAAAAGCAAAGGGAATGCCTTTGTGAAGGAAGCTTGCCCAACAGCTTCTGATAAAACTGACAGTGTAGATTTCAATGACATTCCAAAGGAAAATGTTATTTGAATGCAATAAATGATAAAGCTGTACTATGTTATTCAGGCAAATCTTGTTAACGAAAAAATTGAGTTCATATACATGTCTGGCAATGGCAAAATTACATAGATTATGTACAGTCACTTGAAACATGAAAACCATCTGAATCATGCAAATGTAGAGATTAGTATTTATTCTTTAAGAAATAAAATTTCATTTCAAAAAAAAAAATCTTTAAGAATTAGGTACAGCTTAAAAAACTTAATGATAGGGCTATTTATATACTATCCTAATTTTTGTATAGAAATAAGTATTTAAACTTGATACTTTTTGTTTACTTATAGCATCAAATAGCTTTTATAACTTATAGACACGCACCAATTATCTCTATCGTGATAATCTTCCATGCTTATATTAATCTTTTTAAAATAACATCGACATATTTACATGTTTTATAGGTAGTATTGGCCTTTGATGACTTCTTATCCAGTGACAAAATAAGAAAATGAACAAATAAGGGAAAAAATCAAAACTAAAGGTGTAGTTTTAAATTTCATTTTAAATCCATTCACAGAACCTGTAACTGTATATTATAAGGTTTTTCAACGTCGATTGGACGGATCGGAAGATTTCTACAGAACTTGGGCAGAATACAAGGATGGATTTGGAAACTTGACAGCTGAATTTTGGTTTGGTAGGTTCATATTTATTAATTCGTGTTAAAAAGTAATTAAAAAAAAACAAACACATTTTTCAAGGAATCTATCACCTTTAGAGTGAAATCGATAAAGAAAGTGACCAGCGCTTTCTAAATATACCTGTACTTGAAAGATATTTACAAAGGAATGTGTTCTGTTTGCTAAACTTAATAATTAAAACAAAAAAAATCAATTTATACGAGTAATTATTTTTGCAGTATGAGTGACATTTAAATTTTCCAACTGTTACATTAAAAAAATATTAACTCAATGTACTTTTGCTTTAAAGAGAACACCTTTTAAGTTTGAACCTCTTATTTAAGTTTTCAAAAGATAGATACAGCTTAGTAATAAATCTTTCAGAGTAAGCTGTTTAAATGTATTCAACTGGGTTATTTTCAGTTATCGATTCAACACCTTACCAATCAATCACTAGCATTTTACAAGAAATTTAGTGGATAGGCTAATATCACCTGATTACAAGCCATAAAAAGTTAACACATTTCAATTTGTCATTAATTCACTTTTCACTTATTTTTTTCTTATTTCATAAAATGAAATTTGATAGTAAGTATATAAAAATACCATTAATTTGTTTAAAAGGAGACTATATGAAACGTTCAAGGACATATATGACATCGCAAGTAATATCTGGGGTTTCACATTGAATTTAATATAAATTTTAACAAAAGATTACTACATCTATCAAATATGTTACAATCCCGTAGCACCTTCCTTACCTGTCCATATCCTGGAACTCGCCATTGCTCGATCTTACACCAACAAAAACGGGGGGGGGGGATTATCTAAATGAAAACTTTTTGTAGCAAAATACTATACTCAGTGTTCTACGGGCCTGTGTTAACAAATGCACAGTCCATGAATATAAATCTGATTTCCTGACCTGTGAAGTATTTTTGATACTTGTTCTTTTCTACTTTAAGCATTACAGCTTATCAGTATACTAGTAAAAGTGTGCAATGTGAAAACAAATTCGTCCTCTGACTTATTTCAATAATTGATGAGACAGATGTGTCAGTTATTTATCAAGATGAATAACTCTTCGTCGATCATAATTATTTGAAGGATTTCTACTGCTGCCAATAAACAGTCGCTAGATTAAAGAAAGGATTCAATTATAATTTTTTTGGCAGGGATTTTCTTGCTATTTAATTTCAGTCTTGATCTTCACAAATGCATAAATATCATCGGAATGCAACATGATTTTTTTTACATTTATATCGATAGCTACTTTTGTATTTTTTGTTATTTTTTGAAAGTCTGGTTTTTAAAATGGATTGTACTTTGATATTAAAGGAAACGAAAAGCTCTACCTCTTGCTGAGTCAAGGATCATACGAGATGCGGATGGATATGAGTGATTTCGACAATCAGACACGTTATGTTAAATACAACAGTATTTCTCTTGGAAACGAAACATCAAAATATCAAATATCTTTATCTGGGTTCTCAGGGGACGTGGGTAAAGTATTAATATTGCAATTAATAATTTTCAATATATGCTCAGCGTAACGGCAATTATATAAAGAAAATCAAAATGCAACTCATCTTCAAATCCGAAACATTTCCGTTAGATTATGATTTGAATCAATACAAAGGCAATAAAAATGTACACCTCTGTAATTTTTTAACTCTCGCATATATTTTCCTAACATTTGCATAAGATGCATTCTATGTAGACCTTTGAGGATTTCATAGATGTCATATCACTACAAATAAAAAAAATCATTTTTAATTAAATCTATCATTATTCTTTTTCTATAGGTGATTGTTTGACAGGAACGGGGAATCCGATAAACAATAAGATGTTCTCGACAAAGGATCAAGATAATGACAATAAAAATGAAGGTAACTGTGCCGTGACGTTCACTTCCGGCTGGTGGCATAACCGATGTCATTGTGCAAACCCCAATGGTCTGTACTTGGCGGGAAACACGACCATATTTGCGAAAGGTATAACGTACGCTCCATGGCTGACACAGTACTACTCACTGAGGACAGTCCGACTGATGGTTAGAGGTGTAGTGTAAAAAATTATAATAATTCTTTCACTGATAGAAAACGGAGATGGAAACCCAAAGGTCACGTGTTAGATGGACACAATGTTATATTTGATAGAGGTGTAAACCAATCCTTGACTGATTGCTACTCACTAAAGAAAATGCACTTCATGATTAGCAGTGCTTTATATAAACCTAAAATAACTCTTTTTATTGATAAAAATTACGAAGGAAAGAATCAATGCAATTTTAAATACAGAGTGTAGAATTAACTTTTTGTCAGGGTGTATTGGTCTATTTACCGTGAGGACTAGGTACAAATACGGTATCTTTTTTTAACTAAATATTGTGTTGAACAATTCAGTTCTGAAGTTGTTTTAAAGTTATTTACTTAACTTCAATCTGGAATATAACCTAAAAGGGGACTTCTGCTCTGAACTCAAGTTGGATTCGTATCCTTGATACAAACAGAGACTGGAAATCATTAGATTTCGAGGTGGTTCAATTTTCGTGGAAATCTTGAGTAACTCTTATCAACGAATAAATAAATTAGTGATATAAATTCATATTTCCTTCTGTGGGTATAAGAGAATACACGAACATACCTCCCCAAGAACCTGTAAAATTTAAGCAATCCCGGAAAATTGGCCCTCACGAATTTTATTGATTCCAAAGTAGCCCTGAAATTCTTCAATGACATGTTCAAAATAGAGTCTAGATTCATTAACTGTGCTTACTACGCATACAAAGGGTCTCAAACGATGCTCTACAAAGTAGCAAATCAGAATACTGGTCAGAATATTCCTGTCGCCCGGTTAGTGGTTAGGGAGTTTGCTATAGAGTGGCGTATAAGTTAATCCCTATAATTACGTCACAGGATCAAATGCACTGTACAACGCGGAGACCGGTCCTTCGGATGAGACCGTATAAATAAAGTCCCGTGTAGATGTAGGTGCTGGCAGGAAGATCCCTCACTGCTCAAGGGCCGTAAGTGCCGAGTACAGATTTTAATTTGCAGTCCTCCACCGGCAAGCGGTGGCGTCTCAATATGAGTGAACATTTTCGACGTTAAACAAATAAAGATTGCCCCCCTCAATAACAATAAGCAGGGATCTTTGTATATATGTTCTTGCAGATGCTAGTAAATATCACCCCATGTTTGTCTCTGACATTGCATAAGAAATTATGGATACCCACATACTTGATCTTTGGAAGAGATTAGCCGCGCACTTGGTGCTAAGTACACGGCAGCTAGGAATGTTTGCACACTTAGGCAGTAACAAGGAGGAGTGATACGTCGTTATACATATCTTAATCGAGTTCACTGAGTATGAGAACATTGTCAAAGTAAAACCTATGCACATGTACATGCAGTACACGTATGATTTTATAGTGTATATCAAAAACATATTAATTCACAATTCATAAAACACAACTTCCTATTTTCTGCTTTACTGAATACGCCACATAATGCATATATTAATGATTTCAATAACCTTGTAGTTGGGTGCTTTTTTTTATCCATCGAGTTGTGTTTTCTATCCCTTTTCAGGGACATACGAACGCACAATAATATGGATAAAACCATAAATGGTCACAATGAAAGAATTTAAAATTCCTTTAATGTGTCTTCAAAAATTTTAAAATATCTTTTCCTTCTTTTCCGGATGTCTTGGCAGCAATAAAGCGCCTCTTATATACCGTTGCTAAAACAACATGTATTCAATGTGCGGTCATAAAAATGTCTAAAACATAAGAGTTATGAAGGACTATTTTTTTTTTCTGAGGAAAGGATAATTATTTAAAATAAAATCCCCAAAATCTATTCTTTTTTCATTATGATGGACGTTTGACGCAACATAATTTTACTCTAGCAAATTGAAAAAAATTCATACAAGAGTACTTAAAAAAAGATGTTTTTGAAACTATTTTGAATTCTACTGTGATCTTACTTTTAGATAAATGCTCATGTAGTTTTCAATCATACATCACGAGGCGTCGGAATAAAAGTTTATAAAATATAAGATTTATTTAATGATTAATATACACATGATATAGGAGTTACCATAAAAATCAATACAAACAATATATAACACATTCAGGCTTTAAGGTCCTCCTAGATCTGTTCAATCATATAAAAATGTTCCTTTTAAAATTAAAAATTGGACAGAAATTAACCTTTTATTTGACAATTTTATAAAGGAATAAAATTTATCCCATTAAGGTCAGGCGATACGTTCCTCAAATATCGGTTTTGTATATCTTCGTATTGTGTGGAAAATATGTAAAATTTTAATTACCTTCTGATTTCTAAACTGGTTTCTAATTGTCTTTAAAAAATTGAAACACTATAAAACGTGTTATTGGCTAATTAAGTTTTTTCCAAAAGGATTTTATAGGAAATATCATCCTTTGGTATCTTGCATAAATGCCTGGTAAGGTACCTCAATTTTTTGCGAGTAAACATGTTAAAGTAGCAATACTTCAATGACAAAATCTTAGAAAAAATAATATATATTATTGAGGAAGGTATCATCTGTCCTTAAGAGTTATCTTTCCTATCAGAGGATCAATGAACCTTAATATCTTTGCTGGGCGACAAAAGGCGATGATTGCCGAACAAATGTTTTGTTTTTAACGAATCTAATATTTCATTAAAGTGCATAGAGAGATATTATTTGGCTTGAAAAAGCATATACTGTTCAAAATATAGTTCTGAGAAAGTATACTTTTGATTTTTTTCGATTTTTATATCAAATTATAATGTCAAATTGCCCCCCATGCAAATATAAAGTCGCTTAAAACCTGTTAATGTAAAAATGATACGTGCCACAGAATAATTCATTTCTACATAATATATGCTTTAACATTGTTTTATTGAAACATGTTTGACAAGCGGATAATATCACAGGTGTTGGGTGTTGCAACTTTGTAACAAGGTAGGTAACATACGTTTTTTTTTTTGCATTCTATATATAATGGTAAATTGTACACAGGTCGAAAGCTTCACAAATAAGAACCAAGCACGCTAACTCTCGATTCTTGACTACATTTTACACCCATTTAATTCAATATAAATGGCAGTGTGGCCATTAAAACTTGATTGAATGCAAAGAAGAGTTGATTAATAATTGATTAAAAATTTTAAACCCAGTGTCAAATTCTTAAATGCTCTTATTTACGACTCTTTTTAAAAGGAGGGTTGAAAATTTTATCCATTGAAATCAGGCTTTAAAAATAGCTAGATTTTCAAAAACGCATGAAAATGGATAAATGGGCCTAAAAACTATCCGTATGTTTAACTTGTATAAAATTCAACTTAAACGATTGATAAAAGACCTTATTTTATTTGTAATCCCATTTGGAATTGGTAAAATGACCATTTTTGCAGTTTTCTGTCTGTAAATATATGTTCCCCCAGTGAAACAACAAAAGCTTTGGTATAAATTTGTGAAATAACAATTCATAAAACCCATAAAAAGTAATTTTTGTTTCACGGGGGATGTTTTCAAAATATTTTCCGTTTTCCGTTATGCTTTATGAAAGGACAAGATAGGCTAAGACCCCTTTTTGGCCCCTGGTTTGGGGTGTCTTTTAGAATGTTGCAACAGTTTATCAATAAAAACCTCTTGTGACCCCTGCCACAAAATGAGTATTGGTTCTAAGTTATGGGATACACAAAGGTCACATGATATGTCAATTTCCGAATATTCTTATTTTTATGCAAATTTTCATTGATTTTACAGCTCATTTTGTTTCAGAAAACATGGAGCACAAACTTGCCTATCTACCAAATTTATATATTTCATACACTAGTATCAGATGCATCTTATGTATAAAAATCTCAGATAGGCAAGCTTGTGCTCTATGTTTCCCGAAGTGAAAAGTATCTCAAATTTGACGAAATTCCACCAGAATTGAGGAAATTCGGGAAAATGTCCTAATTTGGCACCCTCTTGTGGCCTCTGTGTAAGCTTTGAATCAAAGTAAGTGCTGATTTTAAAACGAGCATCATTTTAAGTTCTTAGCTACAAATTATCACAGTTTTAACTGTGTTCTCATTTTTACATCAAATAAGGGGCCAGATTCGGCAATTACCATACCTTGTCCTTTACATAAACATCTATATAAATATGAAAATTATTCATATATATATTTAACTTTTGAAATTTGGTTTGGAGGTAGGCGGCAGAACAATACTATCGTTCGCCGTTCTTTTCATATTCGGGCTTTTACAACCGAAAAAAAAAATACAATACTTTTCAAATTGTTTTAATAGGTCGAACGATGATAATACATAAGTTAACGATCTTCTTTCAACAACTTTGGTAATACATGTACATAATGTATAGTACTTTTGAATTTCTTGACAATGATCACTACTTTTTTAAAGAAAATTGTCATGATTTGCAACTAAACTATATTAAGTTTCACTATTACCTTCTCCTATAAAGGGGTAAAGAAAATGCTGGACTAGAATTTTACTGATTGATTTATCTTGTACTGTTTGTTTCTTTGTTTCTTTCTTTTTTTTCTTGCGTACAAGCCAGGAACATTTCCTGTTTAGATTTATTAAGCGGCATCTTTAAATGAACATATTTTTGATATTCAATATCTAATTGTTGCAATGAATTTCACGCTTGAGAATATTTCAATATTCGTTTCCCTTGCTTTGAAAGACATATCTTTTAGCGTAATACATATTGTACTCATTGTTTTAAAATTAAAGTTCTTCAGCTTTTTTAAAAATCTATTAACATCCCCTTTTGATGCAAATACCCGCAATTTTATTGGATACTCAACAGGCATTTATCAGCCTGGAAGAAAAGAATTTGAATTCAGACTGAGGTAAGCAAGCGTTATGTATTTCTTTATTAACTTGTCCTTCAAATAATGTTAAGTATTCTTTTCATACAACCTTTACCAAGCTTTGAGTAAGTGAAAAATATTCTCTGAGGATGTAGACGTCAATGGTACACGAATGTGTATTTAAAATTTGTATTTGATGTTTAGTGTAAATGGTGTTTTTTTTTTTTTAAATTGCTGGAATTTCAAACAAAATTGCAACTGACAATAGAAATTTATTTTGAAAAAAAACATATATTTATTTATAAAATATATTTATCATACTATTTACCAGCCCACGGACGCCTTTTACGCGTATCAGGAAAATTTATCATTCATGTAAAAAAGCAACAGTGGCATTTCCACTGTCAATCATATTGTTCTGTTAGAGCTTCAAACAAGAAAAAGAAACAAAAAACAAAAAAACAAAAAAAAAACATTGTGCCTGTACCTCAAATCAGGTCCAGTTTTTAAGTTCTCAGTTCTGGTTTGAGATGTCAATTAATTGCTAATACATGTAATTCAAACAACAATCTAACGATTTAACAAAGATACAATGGTATTAAGGAATAATGAAGAACATGTAATTGTTTGATTTAAAAATACGAAATTTAAGTATCTGGGTTAAAAACAATTATGAATGATACAATATAGGTATAAAGTACATAACTCTGAACTAAGGTGAAAAATGATAAAAACGGGGGTTTGTGTGCAGGATTTAAATGAGACACGACCTTATGTACCACAAACATGTATATAAATAATTTACAAGATCTTGAATGCATGAAAGACACATATTTAGGAAGAACTGCAGAACGATAAATATGCTCAGATTACTTTTTTCTAAACCATAGTTTTTTCTCCTTCCTTTTTGTCCCCCGCTTTCACTAAAAATGGGGGATATTTATTTCGGTCTGTCTGCCTGTCTGTCCGTCCCTCCGTCTGTATTTCTGTCTATCTGTAATACTTTCGTTTCCACGCGATATCTCGAGAAGCCTTTGAGCTTTTGCAATGAAATTCTACACAACTCCCTATGGCCTAAGGAAGAACTCTATTGATTTTAATGTTAACAAGTCAAAGCTCAAGGATATAAATTTTTAAAAAAATCTCTCTGTTTTAACACTTTCTTTTCCGCGCGATATCTCGATATCATTGAGCTTTTGCAATAAAATTTTATACCATAACTCCCCATGGCCCTGTCCGTCCTCCTTATAGTGCCCCCCCCCCCTTCGACCCCCTCCCCTTAGATCCCCGCATGCTCTTCTACTTTCCTTAAGCCGGGAACACAGATCCTCTGAATTAGCTTGTTATAGATAAAGATGAAAGGTATCTACATGAAGAAAACAATGGACGGTGTCAAAAAAATCCATTCAAAAGTGTTGTTTAGCACGATCTGTAAAATAATGGCTCTCTATACACTGATGCAAAATGGGTTTGTTTTATCTATAAACTTCATTTTTAACAAATGGAACCTGCAATTTACTCGGAACAAAAACGTTCAAAGACAACAAAGTATTGATAAACAGAAATCAATGTTGCTTACTTTAATGGGGGCAAATACGTGCCCAAAAAATGTAAAATTTGCTTGAACTGAGAGTAATTTACACTGAAGATTTCAATTCATTTTATAAAATATCAATGGGCAGAACACTCTTCATGTAACTGTATTAAATACCATGACATTAGAACTCTTTTGTGTGAAGTGTAAAGAGGGTGCTTAATTCTTTTATTTAAAAGTAATATCCACTTACATGTATATTCTTCATACTGTATATAAGTATTGTATTTCAAAAAAAATGTTAGTAATTTAAAGGGACTCGCATAAAATAAGTATATATTCGTCTGCATGTGTGCAAATGATGACATGCCGGATGCCTCCTGTGAAATCAACTGTGATCGGCTGTAGCCGATTAAAAAGGAAAATGAAAGGAAGGTATTTGGAAGATGTAAGCTTGTATTTGACGGAGCAGCGCACTTTTATCAAATTACGGGTAGTGTTTGGAAAAACGCTTGACATAAAAATACGTTTGATAAAAACATGTCGTACACCAGCGGGATTCCCAATATCTGTCTATAAATAGCCAAAGAGAAATTTAGACGGGTACCGTTAGACCTCAGTTAATGGTATTCGTGAGGGAAGGGAAGATCACCGACGAAAAAATGATCGCTACTGTTAACGAGGTTCACTCCTGAGCTTTTGAGCAGATTCTTATCTTAACCTTTATCTAAAAAATTCTGCATAATGTTTTAAATCTTACAATAAATTTGGATTCTACAATGCCAATTTAACTATAATCAGTTAAAACTCCATGATTAAATTCCATACCAAAAGCATTAAGTGAGGAACTATATTTCGTGGCGGAAGGTTTTTTAGAAGAAAATGATCATTTTTTCTCTTTCGAAGTATTTAAAGTATGTTAAATTTGGATTCCTATTTTTACATGCAGTCTGCACACAGAGTTATTTTGTGCAGTGGACTGTTTTATGCTGGTCCTAAATTATCTCTTAAATAAACTGTCATGAATTCTATCGTCATATTTGATAAATATAGCAAATATATTGTGGAAATGAAGAAAAAAATAGCCCTAATTTAAGCTTAAAATTAGCACTATTTTAGTAATATCTAAAAATTAACATCACAGACCCCCACTTTTAATTTTCTTTTCTGAATATATACGATACTTTTAACCATTCTTCTAAAATTCAGTAAAATGTCATTACTTTCAAATGATTTTTTTGCTTGTTAAATTTTAATGCCAGAAAAAAATGAAAATGTTTGAGTGCAAAAAGGTCAAATAATTGAACATGTGGAGTAATTCGAAAATATCTTCATTGTTACAAATTTTAATGTGTCTATTTAAGATGAAATAAGACCGTGCTTGTTCACCATAATTTATTTGAACAAAAAATATTGAAGGAAAAACTTTGAAAATTGATTTATGTGTAAGACGTATCTACAGTGAAAAAAGGTCAAACTAAATGCTCTGTAGCGCCAAAAGAAGCGCATTGACCCCCATTTATTGATTTGATTTTTAATAAAGCTATGTGTATAAATTCTAAAAATATACTTGATAAAAAATTCTCATTACTTTTGATGGCAGGATCCAACCTCCTTAAGAATGTGACTGAGAGCGATCGAAGTCACACAATATTTGAGAAATATCTACAGTTTTGGGGTTTAAAACGGAATAGAGCATACACTACGAGTTTTATAGTGTTCATCCTGAACCATAAATAGTTTATGGATGTTTATGCTGAGTGAATAAGGTAACCCAAATTATACACGATTAAATACCATTTGTAAATGTTGAGAAAATGAAAGCTCGCATTTTTTTATAATGTCCGTGACGTTGAAGATTTTACTGCACCTTGACTTTATGATATGTCCTTTTAAATCACTCAAAATTGATATCAGTTTACAATATATTTTGATATGAAAATTTGATGATCAAATAAGTAAAGATGCTTTTATATCATGTATGACTTTTTTTTTATTATATCGTCAAATATTTCTTTATTCTTTACAACAAGACCGCGTAATTTTTGAACGGCCCTCGTAAGAAAAGATGTTTGAAACTTTTATCCGGAACAATCGAAATCAAAATTCACAATTATTTTTCGCTTAAAAGGATTTTTTAATTACGTACAAAATAAACCTAAGTTCAGTATATCTAGTGTACAATTTCAATTTCAGGGAAATAATAAAGCTGATAAAGTGAAGTACATTAATGTTTATCAAAGAAGTGAATTGTAAAGGATTACCCGATTTTCAAGATGTTTATAATTCTAAAACGATATTTGAGGTTTAAGAGAAGCTTGCGTAGACTGCCCTCTGGTGAGAGATGGCATATATAAAAAATAGCAAAGCTCGGGATCGGCTTTCTTTCAATCATTTGCTGGTTGCAGAGTCGATGGAAAAGAACAAGGGGTTGTCTTATCTTTAATTCTGTGCAAATGTACTAATCACCGGTTATCTCTGATACTTTAGCATGTATTTTTCGATTGATTGTATGTTGTTTTACGTCCCATTCGAGAATTTTTCACTCATATAGAGACGTCACCATATACCGGTGAAGGGCTTCAAATTTTAACCTTAACTCGGCACTCAGGGCCATTGAGCAGTGAGGGATCTTTATTGTGCCAACGCCTGCCGTGACACGGGGCCTCGGTTTTTAAGGTCTCATCTGAAGGACCCGCAACTTTCACTTCAAAGTGCCGAGCGCATGGCGAAGGAACAGTTGCTACCCATTTTTTATCGACTTAGGTCAGCAGCGGCCGAGATTTGAACTCACGACCTCCCGATCACGGAGCGAGCGCTCTACCGACTGATCTACCGTAAACGGTGTTATAAAAAAGAAGAATGGTTTAAACTGATTTACTCTAGCACCTGTTGGTCAAATATGAAAAAATTTAAATTTGATCTGTAGTTTCTCACTATAAAGGTACGCAGCAAGTTTCAAATCTTTCTCAAAAGCATAAAGAAAAACAGTGCGGAAGACCAAGTGGGACAGACTGACAGACAGACAGAGTGACGGACGGGAAAAAGCAGAGGAAACCTATAATAGTTCACTCAAGTTTCACCGGCAGGGGACTAAAATATAAAAAAAAAAACTTATTACGAAATAAGTAATAAAAAGGGCAATTCTTTTTCAATAGATAAAGGATCATTAGATAAATTTTTCAGGTCAGCTAAAAAAGTACTGAAAACCTGGTGTTGCAAGTATGGATGACATCCAATTGGAGGAGGTATAATCTTCATTTTCTTCTTCACCGCTATCATTATAATCATCATAACATCGTCATTTAGTTTCATCTGAATCGCTCATTAAGGCAATTCATCATCTTTTAATTTGTTTTCAAACTTTTTTCCCCACAATTGTCTTGTTTAAATGTATAATCATCTTACATGCTCAACGGTTTTAATTTATTCTTGCACATAGACTAGTTTTTGATGATTTTTTCACCTAAGGTCATCTGAATGAAATTCCATCGAATTTTATGACCATATTCATGTTAATATCTCTTGATAGCATAACTAAAATATCCTTTTCATTCAATTGTAGAAGAAAGTGCGGCGAATGATCCGTTACACGCGGAGAACAAACGGAGAAAATGAAAACAAAGAAGAGTCAACTAATTTTGTCAGTACAATGTTTTTTTTTAATTACAAATGAATACTAAACTAAATAAATGACGTAATGTGTATATGTATCCAGAGGATATTTTTTACTATTTTTCTTCTTTTTTCATATGTAGAGATATGAGAACTCGGCATATCAATCTGACGAACATAATCCATATGACGAACTGGTAAGAATAATACCCTTTATTATTGATATATTTTACGTAAAGTTTTTTTTCTTCCAACAATTTCATGCAATATCCCCCAAGTTTTCTCAAAAAACCAAAAAAAAAAAAATTATAAAATTAGAATGAGTTCATGGCTTGTTCTTTGTTTACCGTTTGTTCTTTCTTTCTACATCTGCATCTGTCTGTCTTTTATTCTTTTTTTCTTTTTGTTTTTACTACCCGTATACATGTATATTCGCTTCTACGTCAGATTTATCGGAGTTAATTTTTGTTCAAAACTCTCTTTCTAACTTATAAGCGAGTCCAAGGGCATTCATTTTTTTCTGAAAGAGGAAATATAGCAATTTTGTTGGGAAAAATCCAATGATAACCAATAAAAAAGGTTGAAATTTAACCCCTAACAGGAAAATACGATCTAAGGTTACCATGTGCATAAAACAAGAGCTTGTAGATTTAAATGATCTTATATTTGGTTAATAATAATGATCAAATATCGAAACATACTTCAAAAAACACAGATAAAAATTGACACAAATTTCTGGCAAAAACCGTGCCGCCTTATGAGCATGTCAATGGCAAATTCCTTCAAAATAATCCAAGAAAAATACAACTGACTTGTAGGCAAGTCTCTCCGGTAAATTCAATATGATTGTACAAGTTAAATTTAAAACTAGATGTAGAATATTAATAAAGTTTTTGGAAAATGCGATAAATTACCCTACGCTTTATAAAATATTGGTCATATTTTTATTAAGTTATTAATAAGTAAATGTTTATTTCAAAAATATACTGATTATTAAGTTCTTAATGTTCCCTCGCTGTAGATGTCCAAATATACGTGAAGAATCAATGTTAACGTAATTTTGAGAAAAAAATGCACCATTCAGAAAACTAAATTACTCCTTTTTACTTATTTCTTTCTAAAATACTAGTAAAACCCGTTATGAACTGTCCATTTGCGAATTTGTCTTCTTCACGATTTGACATCTACGATTTAGTTAGCGATACAAGGTACACGCATTAAATAAGAATCCAAAGTAACTTCTGTAAAATGGAAAATAAAATTTGAAGAGAAAAATTATAAATGTGATCTGTATACCATACTATGAAAGCATCAAACATTATATGTACCAGCTTTGAAATAGTAGATTACCTTGTTCATTTTCATTAATATTTGTAGAATTTTCTCAAATTACTATTTCTTAAAGGGAAACGAAGATAGTAGCGGATATGTTTTGGTAAGTTTTTTGACTTGTATGATATAGTATAAGGTAACCTCCCTGAATGAATTTCCACGAGCCAAGAATCAACAGAGCTTTTCTGATCGTAGAGTGTCCGGCGTACGTCTGTGTAGTGCGTGTAAAAGGTGAAGAAACAGTGATCGATCTTATAAATCCAGTCAACAAAACAAGTCGTTAACGGGGCAAAACTGGGACCCCTAGACGTACCAGAGGTGGGATCAGGGGCCTAGGTGGAGGAACCATCCCTTTTCGTAAATTGTATACATTTTCAACTTCCTTTAGCATACATATATTGTTAGGGCAAATCCAAACTTAGCACAAAGCTTTTGTTGGTGGTGGCTACTCCAGTCTACTCAAATAAAGGTGAATTAGGATGGGGTAATTTAAAAGTCTTCTCAAGAACCAATATACCAGAAAAGAATACAATTTAGTTAATGAATGCTTTCTTTATGAGTGTAAATTCAAATTTATTCAAAGGATTAAGTCGGGTTACATATTGAATTTAGACGTATAAGAACATGTGCGAGAATCAGTCTAAAAAATATGTAGGCAATCCTTTCTTTATGTTATTGTTTTATAACATTAAGATCAACACATTTTAAATGTAAAATCATTTATTTCGTTGATTTGATAATTTCAACTTTGTTTGATTAAAAGGAACTCATTTTTTTATAATTAGAAAAAATCAATGTGTTTAGTAATTTGTTACCATGACGCACTCTTAACAATGTTATTATATCAAAAACAATGTCTTGAATGTATCTCAAAATACTCTCTTTATTTCCCACACGGTCTGTAGTGTCTTACCCATTCATTAAAATCAAACTCCATAACACCTGACATAGTTTGCTCACAATTCTCCGAGTAACATGAGTCATTTTCTATGACTTTACTATCTCTTTTGACCAGATTTTATTTTTACCTCAGAGACTAACCGTCTTCCGATTGAAAATCTTTACCACTCAAAAACTGTCTTTGACAATTATATTAAAATGTACAGCTCACTTTTGATACATTTTCTGGTTTCTCCTGTATTTTCAGAGTTTGATTTAAAGGTTTCCAGGGTACAAATTATTTCGCTATTCGCTGCTCCTTGCACTAATGTCATCTTAATTACTCAAGTTCGATCTCACTCCGTAAACGAATTTATGCAGTCTTAAATTTTAGATAATTTTGATATATACATTACCCGCATCGTTATTCTTTACGGGATACACGATATGATAGGATACAAGTACGATAGTACGATAGGATAAACGCACGATACGACCGGATACACGCATGATAGGATAAACGCAAAACACGATAAACGCAAAACACGATAGACCTGATAAACGATCTTCGCGATAGGATAAACGCAAAACCTGATAGGGTTGTTTCAAAATCGAAACGTTTTCTTGACAAGACGAATTGGTTCCTTTTTAGATACACTGTAGTATGATAATTTTCAGTACTTAGAAAGTCGCAAATCTAAAATATATTAAATATGAGTATATGCTTTATAAAAGAAACATTTTTTTTTGTTTTTTTTGTTTTTGTTTTTGTTTTTTTTTTTTTTTTTGTCAATAAAATGAATCGTCATCAAATTCAAACTGTAATTATTTTAGATTAATTGCGCTCTATTTATGCGATTGTTTATAATATTAATCAAATGTAGAAAGTACCTCGAATTGTTAAACTTTAATTTTGAGTCGTTTAAATACGGAGATTTTAATTTGATGGTGGCTCAAAAATTCCGTAGACAAGCGAAGTTTTACACCCAGGTGTAATAATTCATAAAACGTTATAAATGTATTCGGTATTTTTTTTTTTTTTTTTTTTTTTTTTTTTTTTTTTTTTTTTGGACAAATAAAACCTTATAAATCTATTAAGTGATATTGAGTATTTTTTTGGAAGAACTCTGTGTAATAAATGAAATATCTGGATTCAATATTTTGTGCTAGAAGTCTGCGAAGCATCCAAAATCGCATTAAATAATCGGTGTTTTATCATTCAAATCTTATGAAAAGAATTTTCTAGTCAGTGTAGGGAAGGAGGGGGGTTAAAAAAAAATATAATATTTTAAAGTTAACGCTGTCTACCCAGAGTTTTTATGAATTTACTTTAATTTATATTAATTTTTATTACGTTGTAAACAAGTGTTTTGTTGAAATATGCTAGTTGCGTTGACACAGACTGTGCACTGGACTGTAATTAAATACTCTCTCCTATAAATATAAATATATATGTTTCACATATCCGGTAAATATAGAAATTATTTACATATTCCAATGACGTACACTGTATATGTTTATAATGAAGAAGCTAAGGAGACCGGTGTAAGGACGAAAAGTGACCCTCGTAGAATATTGACCGGGGGGTCGAATTTCTTCGTGGAAAAGTGACCCCCTGGTCAATATTCTACTGCAAGTAGAGTCATTGTTCGACCGTAGAAAACCCTTCCAGGCCGGTAACTCTATGACCCCATACACGTTGAAAAAATGACCCCCATAGAAATCTGACCCCCTACGTGTTAACTATATTAAATAATACAAGTAACAATTGTCTAATCCGAAAGTATATTCCGAAATCTTGCTTGATACGATGTTAACTTTTAAGTCCATATCAGTAAATTCATTTGTTCCAAATGTTGTCTAATTTGGAATGTTGTCTAATCCGGCCATTTTCTATGGGACCAGTAGACTCCGGATTAGACAAGTTTTACTGTAAAACCTTTAGAAATAAAAAAAAAAGCGTTAATCCCAGTAATCCCAGGGTTGGGAGGGAGGGGGGTCGGAGAATGCCCAGAGATTACTGTGTCTCCTGATGTTTTTTTTTTAACTCTCAGATGTATGTTGGGGAGCAAAGTACATTCTCCCTCCTTAAATTAACGCCACTTCCTAATACTATCATCATATACAATGTATGTGATAGGATTTTTGCATGTTTCCCATGTATATGTATATTATTGGAGAAATTTAAATAAATTTCTATCTGGTTTTGTCTGTCGTCATCCAACGTCTTTTGCGCGAGGTGCATCGATCGTTAACTTTCAAACTTTTTCAGCTTTTTCACTTTAACCGCTGAATGGATTTTAACCAATTTTAGCCTGTACCATCAATGAGTGATGGGATACAAAAATGCTAATTTCATGGTCCCTGTTCCCCTGGAAAACAAGGGGAAAGTCTAAAACCATCAAAATTATTACAATTTCAAAAAAATCCTCTTTACCTCTCGACATTATGCATTGAGCCCTCTACAAAAATTGTAAAATTCATGGTCTTCAGGGTCAGGGGTTCTAAAGTAAGAGCGGGTCTTTATGATCATATAGTGAAAATGTCCTCTCTCTCCCCTATATACATGTATATAGCAGATAAACTAGGTGCGTGGTAATGTTGAGAAAAAGTGAATTTTCCTAAATTGTGATATTTTTGGTCCCCAGATCAGGGGGTTTGATGTAAGGGCGTGACTCTATTGATCACATATGTCCTCTCTTCCCTTTAGATAAACTAGATGCGTGGTAATGATGAGTAAAGATGCCTCTTCCAAAACTACTGGTGAAGACCTTGAAGGTAAAACCTAAACGAGGCACCCAGGGCCATTGAACAGTAACGTTTCGTTATAGTACCAACAAATACCGTGACACAGGACCTCGGTTTATAACGTTTCACTGAAAGAACCCTGATTTCTAGTGCAGGGCGCTTGGCAAAGGAACAGTTAGAATACTATGTAAACGTTTTACGTTTGACGCGACATAGCGAACGAGAATCGAACCCGGACCTCCCTATCAAAAAGCGAATGTCAATGCTTTTATGTTCTTATTCTGTAAGAGGTTACCGTCATGGTACATGTAGCTCAGTCGATAGAGCGCTTGCACCGTGGTTGAAAGGTCGTGTGTTCGAATCACGGCCGCGGCTGACCTAAGTCGATAAAAATAGGTAGCAACTGTTTCTTTGCCAATCGCTCGGCACTTTGAAGTGAAAGTTGCGGGTCATTCGGATGAGATCTTAAAAACCGAGGCCCCCGTGTCACGGTATGAGTATAAAATGATTTGCAAAAAAGGACAAAACAAACTAATCAGAACCAGAACTACACAAAAACAAAACAACAAAAAGAAACAAAAACATGAAGATATTAAGGGGGTCGGGGGTAATGAAACTTCTGAAGGACTAGCCGATCACCTCCATATGCATAAACTTATTAAAATCTAACAAGGGATCGTTGTTACCTTGGAGGATGCTACTTCATTTACTACATATATGTAAGGAGATCTCCCTCCCGAGCTCGATCCTCTTCTGAACAAAAGAAGTGAAAAGGCAGCCGTCCCGAAAAAAGGGAGCTAAAGTATGGAGGGTAATCGTGATCAAATATCCAGTCTTGTAAGTTTGTAAATCCGAACTTGCAATCGTAGAAACTTCTTAGTCTACACATGTAAGTAGGTAATTCCGATTAGTTTTAGCATGTAGTTCCGAACATACAACTTCAGAATCTACCCTAATTTAGCCCCGCTTGATATCAATCTTGTACACTTCGTCTACTTATAGTAAACAAGACATTAAACTTGCATGAAATATATGGAGATAACGAACAGTATTCAAGCTCAAAAGTCCATAATCAATACAAAATAGGAGCAGAGCAAACACGGACCTCCAAACATCAGAGGTGGGATTAGGTGCCATGGAGGAGTGAGCATCCCCTGCCGACCGGTCACACCCGCCGTGTGCTCCTTGTCATGATCGGGAAATAACGGAAAAATCCGTCGACAATTCAGTGTGTAAATAATGGCCTAACAATTAGTGTGAAAAACATCATTCAGCATTTGACTCAGTGATAAATTGTATTTGCTGACAAGGTCATTGTATCGACCATAGAACTTACGAAATGATGACTTTAAACGAGACAGCTGATATTCTTGTTTTATCAACTTATTTGTCAATAATTTACCTCGTTTTAGAAATTGTACATACGTAGAGCATGCTCTTGCGTATCGAATCAACTGAGAGATATATACCCCGTAT